TAAATAAATCCCAATAAGTACAACATACCTTATACAGTACCAGACTCTTCAACTATATTCGTGCCTGGGAAATTTGAAGTTTGCTAGCATCTTTCAAACAATTTTTTGGACTTTAGTACTTAAAAAATTTTGTTTGTATGTATGGAATGTTCATAAGTAGAATGTTCTTAAGTAGGGGACTATCTGTATAACATTTCCATCCCCTAGCACTAAACACAGGCAAAGGATATTGTTTGTCCTCTTACTCTTTCTCATTCTTCTTCATAAACTTACTCTTCCTTAACATTTGCCCCAGGCAAGGAGGTTTTATAGTTAATTTCCATTTATTGTATCATTTATTTGAAAGATCTTTTTGATATGTTAGAGATAGCAGGGAATCAGGCTACAGTGTGTTCAAGAGGGAGAATGAATAAACTAGCATATATAGCACTTTCTGTATTCTGTTTTTGATTTGGATGGCCTGGGAAGATTGACATCCAAGTTAACATTAAGACTATGTATCCTTACAAAGTAAACTGTTCATGTGGAGGTTATGTTTTGATTGCTCATTGGCCTGTTTAATGGGTTGATGGTTCACTGGAAATTTGTCCAGGCTTGCTTTTGGGGGGTTTCACCAAAGCAACCTAACTTTTGATCATTGGATGAACTAAAGTTGCCCTAGGATTGCAATCCTATCTATTGGTTATATTGGACTGCATTGTACATAGTGTAGGAATATTTTTTTTTTAATCTGAAATAGGTTACAGATAAAGAGGGAGATTATCATGTCAAGCCCAATGGTTTGTTGTACAAAGTTGTAATTAACCCATCTGGTAAATTGATTAGATCAGTCACTCAGAGATATATTCAGAAAATTCCAGTGCGCTTTACATAGCCCCCCAATGTCTTATCACTTCTGTATCAACAAATAAATCTGGCCTTATCCTGTTGGGTTTGTAACAGGGTATGCAAGAGATATAAAGTTTGCTGTGTAGTTCCCAGTCAGGTCACATTGGGAATTTGATGGTGACTGATAGCAGAGGGGGTGTGTGTGTGTGTGTGTGTACACACCACCCATTTTAGATTCCAGTAGATGAAACATGTGGCTGCTAAACTTAAAGATAAAATATGACTTTCCTTTTCATATTCAGACTAGTAAAAGAAAAGAAACAAATAAATAGTTGTGATTATAGGACAGAGTCTGAAAAAACAGGAATCTTCTGAATATGATAATGGTAATATTAAAACCGGTTTCGTATAACATTAATTCAACTGCATTAAAATGCTCTTATATATTGATATATATATAGACTTTTAGAGGGTTGATACTAAAAGCATGATGAGACATGAGTTAACAATCAGATTCTTTTATGGAAATTGAGTTACAAGCACTTAATTGATAAACCACCAAACAAAAGACGTAATTTCAGTATCAAAAATGTTTTTTAACCCATGGATGGAAGTATGGCATGATGTGCAGCATATTCCGATGACAATATGAAAATTATTCGTAAACCATTAAACCTGTAATCAAAGGTGAGTGAAATGCGTTTGAATTGTTGTAAATGATTCCTTAAAAAAATAATACAATTCTTACGTACCCATACCTGAATCGTTTTACATGCTCATTGCTGAGAGTCTTCAGATGGCTTTAAGCGAAGGTTAGCGGCAGCGGGAAATTGGGTATTATGAAATTAAATATTTTCATTGAAAGAGGAGTGTGTTTAGCTTGTATAGCATCCTGGACAGCCCCTTGAGTTGTTGGGCCACTCAATGAAGAAAGAAAGTGACGGAAAAAATACAAAAAGAGGAGAGAGAGCAGAAAAAAAGAAAGAGAAAAAGACATAAAAATAATGAGAGCCAAAAAAGAAAGAGAAGAAAAAAGAAAGGAAGACGAAAGGAGAAAACAAGAAATATTAAGAGGATGCCTAGAGGAAACAAAGACCCTTCCCTTTGGTTCCTTTAAAATAATTGAAATTCTTGTCTTGTGGCAGTTTTCCTTTTCCACACGATATCGTCTTTGTGTATTGCATGTACAGATTATACAAGTAAACATCCTGATAACTTTGGTAACTTCTATCATAGTGAAGAACAGTAAGACCCGCTTCAGAGTAAATGTTTTTTAAATGGATCATCTCACACAGAGTCTCCAAAATAATGGAGTTCCAACTCACTTGGAAAAAGTCGACCCAAGCCAGTCTGGACAAAACTAAAAACGTTGTGAATATTTTACATGTAGGCCTAAAACAGAAAAGAAAACTAGACATCACATACGTCTTATGAGCAGTCCTAAGACATAATAAAAATATAACTACATTACAGACACTTCATAAATGGGTGAGGCCGTATGTTAGTGCTTGGTTGAATCCTGTATAATTACTACATGGAAATATGAGTCGTCCGGTATCCAGGAGGTTAAGTTGAGCTTGAATACTGGCGAGCAGAGCTGATGGAGCTTCGTCGAAACTGAGTTTCAGTAGAGTTGCATACATCATCTGTAAGGAGAAATGGTTCACTGATA